ACTACATAGTATGTATGTACATATGTATGTATATTAAGTGAGAGAGTGTCCTCTAGCAGCTGAAGGCATAAATTGTGGTAGAAAAATTTATTTCACACTACAAAACTAAAAATATTTTCCTACTAGTGAAAAATGTTGTCATTTCAAAACCTTTCGCTTATTTATAATACATTTTAAACACAATTTTTTTTTGGTATCAAAAGTCAGTAAAAATATGTAGTTAACTGTAAAAATGTAATTTTTATTCTCTTTTATTTCATTTGGTACACACACACAGTCTCGCCAATGATTGCAGTCTACCGGCAAATGATTTATGCTGAGTACGGACAGAGCGCCACGCTGGAATGCTTGGTGAGTATGAAAAAATGTTGTGAAAAAAATACATTCCATAGAAAATGCAAAGATATGCATGAAAGTATGCTGGAAAAAAGGAAAAGTTACAGAGATATGCCGGTGGAAATTCATTTACCTATGTGCCTTTATTTTTCTTTGAACTGTATTAGTAACATTTTTTTTAAATAGTTATACAAACATAATAAACTTGCGACAATCCAATGAGCCAACTTGAAATCCACGAAAAAAGTAATTAAAATACGTTTACACATACATCATACTTTCAACCTGTCGTAAGTACCAAACATATATATAACAAAATACATTTGCAAATATCTCCTAGGAGTGTTCGGTGCTAGTTTGTGACATCATTAACGAAATCTCTATCAAGATATGTATCTAACAGGCCAGCCTAATATTCACGCACGCCGGAAGTTTACTGTCAAAAACATGCACATACAACTTGTATGGGCCCAACCGAAATTGAACATTTGACATTTGTGCTCATTTGACATTTTGGCGCGACAATGAATTCAAATTTTGCTCAACAAACCTCTGTAAATTTGACAGAAATGCAACTCTGAGCAGTCACGCACGCAAATTGATTCGGTTAATCAAATGTTAAAAACATGCGGGCGTGCGTAGAAAAACTCACGCCGCTAAAATTAGGTTGAGCTGTTAGAGAGCGACCAATTACCAAATATACCTACAAATAATAAAAAATATTTTCGGCAGCAAACTTTCCTAAACCTCTGCAGTTTAATACCCGCACTGCAATATCTAATTTATCTTATCAATTAAATTAAATAAAAATTTGCAAACATGTGGCAATTTGCATACAAAAAATTTTCGCTTGAAGCCTCTTTCTTTTAACAGCCATATTGCAATTTTATCAATTTCCTTAAACTTCAATTTTCAAACAGGTGGCAACTCTCTAACTTTTTTTATTTCTACATGGTATACCTTTCTCGTCTATATGCCACTTTTGATAAAATATAATCTCTGCTTTGTCCCAGGCTACTGTCTAGTCACCAGTTAAAGTGGGTTCCAATAGACAGGCAAAAATTCTTCAAATATATTCTATTACATTTTATGTCTACTAGTATAGAATATTTTTTTTTTAAATAACAACAACAAAATATTTAATTGCAATAAAATAAAAAAACAATGAAGTGTGTATGCGCATATATTTCAGTAAATTGGTCTACAATTTGTATATGTATGTATGTGAAACACAATGCCCATATTAAAGCAGACAACACGGCGTATGAGCAACATCCATTTTGTGCGTTGGAACACTAAATAAATAAATAGTAACTAAATATGTAAATGAAATTCCAATCAGAGTAAGCCATTCCAAATAGATTAAAAATTATCTTTTATTTGTATATCGACAAGCTTATTTTACGAATCTATGCTAATTTGCATACGAATTACAAACCCATTCCGTACTTAAAGCTTACTCTAGCGCTAATTGCTATCGAAAATGCGTACATTGTATATGTATAAGTAAATATAATATTTATTGGCTTTGCTATACTTATTGGCTTAATTAAAATACTGCAAACATGAATGGGAATTTAATTATTTTTTTTTACCGCCGCCACAGCAAATGCGGTCAAAATGTAGTAATTGCGGTGTAATCTGGAGTTTCTATTATTTAATTTGTTTTTAAGTGCATACTACTTTAATCTTTTTTTTTATTATATACGTTTCGTTGTCGTGTTTTATTTAAATAATTGCTCCACTCTAATGAATACATGCATGTGCGTATATTTGTGCACATGTACATATGTATGTTTGTATGCATGCATATGACAAACACTTACATGCCAAAGATATTTGAATAAATTTATGTGCGCGGTAAAATGTTGCAATTAAAGAGAATTTTTTTATTAAATAGTATAAATGAATACTTACATAAATATTTTATAAATGAATATTTTTAAATTATAAGTAGATGCATACTAATACAAATTAATTGAAAAAATTACATATACAATACATATAAATACATAAATATGAAAACATTTGCAGGTAAAACATACATTTTTATATCTACATATACATACTTACATATTCAGGAGTCACAGAAGTATAGCTAAACAAGTACGAATGCAAAAGGGAGCACCTGCATAATTATATTCTTTTTCTCCTTATTTGGCGCTGTAACCGCCTAAGCGGTTCTGGCCGAGTTCACCGAAGCACGCCAGTCGTTTCTCTTCTGTGCCAACTGACACCAATCGGAAACGCCAAGTGAAGCCAAGTCCTTCTCCACCTGATCTTTC